TGCTCGGGCAGGCCCTGCCTCTGAGGGGCCGCGGCCCTGGATGTGCCATCTCTCGGTGCCCCCATCTAGCTCCGTGGAGCTGCTGTTAACTGCGCTGCTCCTAGGGAGCTTTTTTCGAATTATCCTTAATATATATTGTAGAAAATTAACCCCAACTCTTTCTAATAAGACCTGTAAGAGTAGAATGTTAATATCTGAGACCTAACTGGTATCGAGCAGCTGCATTGAACAGTATTAACACCGTTAGCCTGCATGTTTTGAGGACTATGTGAAGCTAGATCTAAGTAAATGGAGTTTTTCTTTGTGTCAGTCAACGAAACATTTTGTCCCCCATTCAGATGAGTTCTTTTGGAGATTAAACAGTTGGAGAGGAAAATGACATCGATTATCAAGTTGACTACCCTCTCGGGGGTGCAGGAGGAATCTGCCCTCTGCTATCTTTTGCAAGTAGATGAGTTTCGTTTTCTTTTGGACTGTGGCTGGGATGAAAACTTTTCTATGGATATTATTGACTCTCTGAGGAAGTAAGTAGTTCAGTTCATACACCTATTTTTAAAATAGGGCTTAGTCTGTCTTGAAAGTTTTCAAAATTCTGTGTAGTGGTATAATATATGGTGTTGCTAAATGAAAAATTGTTGGGTTTTTTTTGGTTTTGTTTAGTGTATATTTTACATGAAGGGAATCACACTGCTGAAACATTTCCCACAAAAACTTGGGATTTTTTTCCTTGTCAGTCCAGTGAGTTGTGTCTTGTAACTGTAATTCTCAAACTGTTCAGTTTTTGTTTTGGCTTGGATGATTTGTTTGTTTTTTATTGTCATATATATGACACAGTTTAGGGGAGACTGATCCTGACTCTCAGCTAATTTAGAGCAGTTAACTAAGTTTTAAATAGGAGAGGAAGCCTTCCTGCATGTAGGCTGAATACAAAGCAGTTCAACTCTTGGCTCTTGTTTCAGGTTGAATAGAATGTCAGGAAAACATCCTCTGTCAGGACACCAGCCCTGCAAAGGGAAAAAACCCTCCAAACCAAAATCTGTCCAGACTTCTCTATTGAACTTTTTTAGGTGTACACAGGAGCTGTGCTGATTGCCAAGTTAGGACTGAAACATGGAAATTTGGGAAAGAAACTGAGCTTTTTGATACTATTTTTTTAAACACTTGCAGTGTTTAAGATCTTTTAAGTGAGGATTGTTAGGTACTGAGGATAATTTATAAAATTTTTCAAGTGTCTTATCTCAAAGTGATTAGATAAAATTCTCTTTATCATAACAGCCATTGAGAAGAATGTGTATTCCACTTACTGTGCAAGGGAACAAAAAACTGTCAGTCCAGCTTGTATTTTCATTTGTTACATGTGTTTTATGCCCTCAAGCTTTTCAGTTATGACATGTAGAAAGGTTTTAATCTGATTTCTAATTTTATGCAACACTTTGCGAGGAAAAAAAATGGTTTTAAGGGTAATAAAATCCCCAAACTCATGTGCTACTTTTCTTAAATGATATGTTTGCTATTTTCTGTATTTAAGATATATTTTGATTTGATCAGAAAATATTGAAATATATTTTGCTTATCTTTATCAGTTGAAGGATTGTTGTATCTTTGGTTCTTTTACTTGGTTGAGCTCATCAGAAGAAAAGTTGTTGTCTGTTTTGGGGTGTATAAGCAATTTGTAGCAAATCTGTACTGATAATGTTCTTGGTCCCTCAGTTAATTTACTTTCTGGTGGCCACTTATATACTAAGGTCTTTTTCATCAGGAGTTTGATGTGGAAATGTCTTCAGATCTTAAAGTAATACTTTCTGAAATAAGTTTTTAAGTACTTGAACATTAGGAAACACCCATAAGTTTTAATTGTGATTTTTAAAACTGTCCCAGTTCTTGAAGGGTTGAAGTTTCATTGTTTGGCATTCAGACTGTGTATGTATTCTCAAAACAGCCCTAGCAGGGGATACACAGAACCATACAGAGCTCCTTTCAATGCCTTTTGTTGGCCCTCTTTTACAGGCATGTACACCAGGTTGATGCTGTTCTCCTTTCCCACCCTGACCCTCTACACCTTGGTGCACTTCCATATGCAGTTGGAAAAATGGGATTGAATTGTGCCATTTATGCAACTATTCCTGTATATAAAATGGGACAGATGTTTATGTATGATCTCTACCAGGTATGTTTAAGTTGATGCTTTCATACACAACATCTTGGATGGTGGAGTGTTTGAATTCTCTCTACTTTGTTTGTTTTAGTCCCGCCACAACACTGAAGATTTCACACTCTTTACATTGGATGATGTAGATGCAGCCTTTGATAAGATACAACAGCTGAAGTTTTCTCAGATTGTGAACTTAAAAGGTAAAGTTGTCACCAAAACCTCAAGAAATTACTTTTAGTGAAAGGCAGCAGAGCAGTTACAAGTTAAAGACTTGTAAAAAGTAAAGTCCCTTTACTTTTGTAAAGGGACTGACTTCTGAAATGCCGTGTTTTGCAGTGCTGAATTCATTAGCCTCATGTCAGTCTGTATCAATTGCAATTGTATCTAGACATGGATAGAACTTTCACTTAATGAGGAGTGGGTCATGCCAAACAGTGTTGAGATATTTGTTTCTCTTTTGTGTTTTTGTAGCTTCTCTTGGAATTTACTGATGTCTATTAAAAGTATTTACTTACCTCTTGCAGCAGATACTCAGAGCTCTCCATAAGCAGTAGCACAAGGGAAAGCTTTGCAGAGCAGAGAAGTTGCAGCATGTGCAGGATTTAGTGGGGAGATCTTCAGTGACTCACATCATACTCAGTGTAGTGCATTGCTGGGACCTGTGACAATCAGCAGCTCTCCACTTGTGTTGAATGTAAAGATCAGAATAAAATAAAACTCTCTTCTTGAACAGAGACATGTACAGGCTGACCACCAGCAGTTTGTCTCTGAGGTGCAGTATTTTACAGGTTCATGAGTAGTGCTGCCAAAAGACTTTTATTTGGAAAACAGAAAGAGGATGTTGGCCTTGAAAGCCTGTTGGTCCCTTTTGAGATAGTTGTAGCAAGGCTATGTCTGCCCTGGCAATTCTTACATCCAAAGAGCAATTTTGGCATACAACTTTTTCAAAACAACCAACTTCTTTTATATTTAATGGAGGTGATTTGAAAAGACTCGATGGAGGCTTTTAAGAAGATAATATATGTTTAATTATTAATTATTACTGTGCATTTAATGCAGCAGAGTCAGTGAGTGATAGTTGTGGGTAGTCTCATTTTAATCTGATGTATATACAGGGAGCAACAGTGCATTTGAAAAATGCATCAGGTGCTGAAAAGTTCTGTCATCCCATCATGCAGCACATGAGCACCTTTTGTGCTATGGTTTAACTTGTGTGTTTGTCATTCTGGAAAGCTTTCAGATTGTGTAATTTATATAAGTTTTCCTAAGTACCTCAAAAGTGAATGCTATGGTAAACATTAAGTGTTGCCCCAGAGAGGATCCTGGCTTTCATCATTGTGATATGTTTTTTATATAATTTACTGTTGTTTATGTCCATAGTTACAGCAGCTCTGAGTGTCAGTGGGAGGTGGAGGGAAGAAGTGATCTTTGCTTTAGTTTCTTTATTCTGGAGGAAAGATACAAGTGAATTGCAAAATATTTTGGCATTACTGCATAGATGGGAAGGACAGATATTACTGCTTTTTCATACTTCATTTGACTTTTTCTCTCAGTAGTAATTTGGGTACTCAGTTGTTTGAAGTTACTATGTCTTGCTCAGAGTAATGGATTTTACTATGTGCAATCTACCTAAAATGCTGAAAACCTTTGTAGGCAAAGGACATGGTTTGTCAATCACACCATTGCCAGCTGGTCACATGATAGGAGGCACAATTTGGAAGATTGTCAAGGATGGGGAGGAAGAAATTGTTTATGCCGTTGATTTCAACCACAAGAGGGAGATGTAAGTTCAACATGGAAATGTACAGTTCTTAGCTGTTAGCTGTGCATCATTTAGTGGGTGATAAAGAGGTGTGGAAGCAGAAGTGCATTTCCAGTTCTAATAAGATCACTAATTTCATTTGCATCTAGATTAATCAGTTTGAAGCAAGCATTAGCTCTGGGTTTCTTTATTCCATTTGTTTCATTTATTTGTAAATGTGAAGCAGGAAGCATTCAGCAGCTGAGGAGTTTTGTTTCTGTACATGCAAATATCTGGAATCTAGCTGCCTTTTTTTTTTCTCATAAAATAGAAATGCAAAAAAGTGAGATTTTTCCTTTTTTCCACAGCCATCTGAATGGATGTTCCTTGGAAATGTTGAGCAGGCCTTCATTGCTTATTACAGATTCATTTAATGCTACTTATGTACAACCCAGGAGGAAGCAAAGGGATGAACAGCTGCTGAGTATGTGTTGTTTGGGCTTCAAAAATATCAGTAATGTGATTTATTAGCCACTATAAATTATTTTTCATTGAGAAATTCATTAGCATTTGAACTTAAGAACGCTTATTAAAATGTAACGAGTTTTGAATTACTCTTTTCTGATGATACTGATCCTGTGAGTTAAATGTTTTCCTAACAACAATGAACTGTATTTGGAAACATTGTATTTTACCCAGTATCCTTAAATATCTTCAAAGATTTTTAAATTACCTTCCTCAGCACTTTCTTTTTTTAAACTCCATTTTCTGTTGATTTTTAATTTAAAAAAAAACACCAAAAACAAACAAACAAAAGAAAAAAACTACCAAGGCAGAGAGATCTTCCGAGCTACTGAGAAAACTCCAGCTCCCTTTAATTTTGGTGGAAGTGTGGATTTGGATCTCTTTTAAAGTTTCCTTTGTTTCAGTGTTCAGTATACTTTTGGATGTGATTGCTAGTGTGACACAACAAAAAAAAATTTCAGCCACAGCATGAACCTTCTAACTTTGGTCCAAAGTGTAAGCAGGTTTTTGTTTTGTTTTTAATTCTTCCTAGCTAATGTTTTGGAGACATTACGAGGTGATGGAAATGTGTTAATAGCTGTGGATACAGCAGGCAGAGTTCTGGAACTTGCTCAGCTTCTTGATCAGATCTGGAGAACAAAAGATGCAGGATTGGGAGTGTACTCTCTTGCACTTTTGAATAACGTCAGCTACAATGTAGTGGAGTTCTCTAAATCACAGGTTTGATTTTAAAATCCAGTTATGAAGAGTAAAGGAAATTTATGCAAAAGCTTTTCTTTTTAATGGTAAAAATTAGCAAAATACTGGGTGAATGTCCTTATTCTGTAGTACATGTTTGTGTCTCAGCTCTTTTGATCAAGTAACAGTGTCCAGTTGTGACAGTGGGCGTGTTTCTTGATACTGATGTCTGTCTTTTTGATAAGACTTGTTAGCATAGTTTGTAGTTGTTAAAAAAGAAAACTTAAAGTACTTGTTTCTGTGTTGGTTATGCTCAACATTATTTCTACACCTGCTGAGAAATACTGAAATAATCCTGGGCATTTTGCATCCTGTACTTCATATGAAGCTTGTGCTGTCGAACAACTTGTATTTGTATAGATAAGTTTCTCTACTATGTATTTTAGGTGGAATGGATGAGTGACAAGTTGATGAGGTGCTTTGAAGACAAGAGAAACAACCCTTTCCAGTTCCGCCATCTCTCCCTGTGTCACAGCCTGTCTGATCTGGCTCGAGTGCCCAGCCCCAAAGTTGTTCTGGCCAGTCAGCCTGACTTGGAGTGTGGGTTCTCTAGAGATCTTTTCATTCAGTGGTGCCAGGATTCCAAAAACTCCATCATTTTAACTTATCGCACTACACCTGGAACATTGGCACGATTCCTGATTGATAATCCTTCTGAAAAAGTTATAGATATTGAGGTGAGAGTTGTCTCTGTAGCTCCAGGTTCTTATTGTGGACAAAACTGAACATGGTTTCCCTTTTGATCTTCTGGAAATGCTTCTAGTGGTGGAGAAAAACCTGAAACTAGTATGTTGCATATTTATCAGATTGTGGATAAATTTACATAAAAATAGGTCTCCTACCGAGAACTGCAAATTCTTTTCACGGCATGGCAAAATTAATAGAGCTGAGCATGAAATTCCTTTTAAATATTTATTCTTAGGCAACTCATTCCTTTGTGTTTCTACAATAATAGAAGCACAGAAAAAAGTCTGCTTGCAGCTGACATACAGATCACTACATGTGATGGGTTAGTCTTGCTGAAAATTCTCCTGGTTTGGATGAGAGGAGAATCAAGTTAAATTAGTGTAATATATCCAACAGGATTAGAAGGATAAGCAAATGCTGGAAATTAGGAGATAATTAATTGCTATTCATGCTTTCAAATTGTTTTCAATAATCTGTGCACCTGTGTCTACTTCTTTCTGGTGCACATTGTTAGTTTATGGAAGTCCCCTGTGATTGCAGTGATAATTTCACCACTGATGATGCAGCTTTTTTTTTGGTTTTAGATTGGATTGAAATAATTGAATTATAGTGTTAGGTTATTACTAGAATTCAGTTTATTCAAAGTGAACTGTACTCAGAAGACAAGAAACAAAATCTACCATTGTTTTGCCAGCTAGTATGACTTTGCTAGCTTCTTCTGGTTTCATGTTAATGATAGAAAAACAAAAAAAAACCACTGCTCATCTAAGAGTATTTGCCTTCACTTGTTTTTGGAAAACTTAATTGATTTTAATATTTTTAGAAATGCTTTCATTTAAAGTAGACTGTACAAGTTGACACTATCATGATGTCAAGGTACCACATTTTTGCCATAGTCTTGTCTTGTATGTGACATACAATTTATACTTGCCCTTGGTGCCCAAGGACAAATATTCTTGTCACCAGCATATAGCAGAAGTATTAAAGTTGTGCCAGCTACTCACAATATCATTAATTTTAATTCCATCTGCAGTTGAGAAAACGGGTCAAGTTGGAAGGAAAAGAACTTGAGGAATACCTAGAAAAGGAAAAACTAAAGAAAGAGGCAGCTAAGAAGTTAGAGCAGTCTAAAGAGTAAGTATGTTGCTGTTATGATCAGAGTTGGGATTTCTGTGTGATTATTCTGCTCCTTCAACTCTCTTCAGGGCTAAATGAGAATTAGAGTTTCAGTAACCTTGTCTGAGAGCCCTGAGCAGTCAGGAGGGGTTGCCTTTAATCTGTTGTCCTGATAGACCCAGTTTCATCTGCCATTTAAGTGTGAGCTCTTTCTCAGATACATAAACTGCCCTTGGCCTTGGTCACTGTTATGTCAACTGTTATTTTCTAGTCAGTGTGTTTATGTAATATGAAACCTGAAGAAAAAAAAAAAAAAAGTGCTAGGTGTTTTTGGAATGTCATTTCAGGGCAGATATTGATTCCAGTGATGAGAGTGATGCTGAGGAGGATATTGACCAGCCAACTTTACATAAGACCAAACATGATTTGATGATGAAAGGTGAAGGTAGCCGGAAAGGAAGCTTCTTCAAACAGGCAAAAAAATCTTATCCAATGTTTCCAGCTCCTGAAGAAAGAATTAAATGGGATGAATATGGTGAAATTATCAAGTATGTGGTGGTAATGTATACTAACATAGTAGCTATGAAATAATTAAAACCTAGAAGGAATTAAATTCACCATTCTGTCTCTTTTGCAGCATTGCTATATGCTCTTCAAACTGCTTAGTCTTAGGGAAAGCTTATGATAAGGATTGAAGCTGCAGAGTGCTGATCTTTGACCTGTGTTCACACTTCCCAGGATGTATTTTCACTCCAGGCTTTTTTTTAAATATTTTGAGATAGAAGATTTTAAATTATTTTAAGCTGACTTTCTTCTGCTTTAAATTTCACTTAATGTTAAATTTGTGAGGTGAGAAAACACTATTCATCCTAACAAAATTCAGTGATATTTGTCAGCTTTGCATAAGGAATACTTGCTAGAAATCCCCAATTTGCTAGTACTTCCTAAGTCATTCAAGTTCTTTTTTAAGATAAGATGGTGATATTTTCCAAATCAGCTCTGTTCAAGTACAGAAATATTTGGCAGGTGTTGTTGCTGGCAATAGCAGTTACAAAAAAATCTTAGTAGTAATAATCAGCACTGTTTGTGTTTATATTAGATAGTGCTTTGGTTTTACACTAAAAAGCAAAATACCTTTCATTCTTTAGACCTGAGGATTTTCTAGTTCCAGAGCTTCAAGCAACAGAAGAAGAAAAAAGCAAATTAGAGTCTGGTTTGACAAATGGAGAGGAGCCTATGGACCAGGATTTATCAGATGTTCCTACCAAGTGTATTTCTGCAACAGAATCCATGGAAATTAAGTGAGTGACTTTGTTCATCTCAGTTCTACTGCAACAGTGGCATGGGTACCGTGCAAATTGGGCAAAAACCTAGCTTGGATTTAAGAAAGTGGGAAAGGACTTGAGTTTTGTTTATTTTTTTCCCCAAGCTAAGTTGTATTTTACTAGTCTTTCTGGGAGTGCAGAACAGTCTTATGGTTCCCCACTCTTAAAAAGTTTGGTTTGTTTCCTGTCTTATGGAGACAACTGGGAGAAATAGAAGAAATGATACCATAGTATGTTAACATTGATGCATAAGTATGTTTTGTTTAAAGGATAACATATTCAAATATGCTTATTTCATGGATAACTTATTTTTTGATAACTATGTAAGTGAATTTTGTGAATGTATAGTGTTAAATACACACATGCTAATATTTGATGATCCATAATATACCTTGTGCTGACAGCTTTTGTTGATGTACAATAATTTAAAAAAATCTTAATGAAGTATTTTGGAACACTCAAAGGTTTAATCTTTTAAACTAAAACATATTATTCTCGGGTTTTTTTGTTCAAACTAGAGCCAGAGTTACATACATTGACTATGAAGGACGTTCAGATGGGGACTCAATTAAAAAAATTATTAACCAAATGAAACCAAGACAACTGGTGATTGTCCATGGCCCACCTGAGGCCAGTCAGGACCTTGCAGAATGCTGCAGAGCTTTTGGTGGAAAAGATATTAAAGTTTACATGCCCAAACTTCATGAAACTGTAGATGCTACAAGTGAAACACACATTTACCAGGTAAGGCACTGGAATTTTTTAGTTGTGTAACTCCTGTGGACTGTAGGAGAGCTGTATGAGCAGAATGTAATTTACCCTCTGTTCTTGGGAGAGGAGAAGTGATACCACCTGTGAGTTCAATTAATTTTGTGTGATCAAGGCTTTAGTTGTGTTTTTCTGTGTTTAGATAAGCATTCTGCTGAGGCTTATTATTCATAAGCATTAGAAAGCTGGAATGGAATATCCGTGGGATTTTTACCTGAAGTGCAAAAGGCAATTTTGCATGTTTGTGTCCATGGAGGCATCAGTTTGCTTTATTGAAGTATTTACAAATTTATAATGCCTATATTTAGAATACCCTTGTATACTAGCTGCAATTCAGGATTCTCTTTGGAATCTCAAATGGAGCCTTAAAGAGCTAGAATAAAAAAATGCTTCATACTTAAATAGTACCTAAAAGTGAACATGTAAAATTAGGAGCAAGTTAATGATAAGAACAAATTAGATACCCATACCCCCCAAAAACTTAATGTGCTGATTCTTGGAAAGTAAGGTTATGATCATGTATTGCTGTGTGTTAGCCATGAAAATTAAATTCAATATATTAAGTTCTAAATAAGAAAGCTGGAATAGCTTGTGTGAATTATGTGAAAATTGTGTATGGTCCCAATTTAATTTTTGAAATTGTTTAGAGGGAATTGTCTCACAAACAGTTTTTGCAGTAGTCCTTTATTCCTTTGTTCTTTTAAAGTTAATAGGAAAACATTGGTAGAATTGTTGAAAGAGGTACTTCTGTTTCTTTCTAGAGAAAAATCTGTTATCCTCTAGAAAGTAGAAAATTCCAGTTATTAAAAATCATCTAGTTATGGCAGCCTTAAAACAGCATGTTTCCTGCATGTGGTTTGTTGGTTGTTGAGATGTTTTTGTTTGCTTTTTAAGGCTATGAGAGTTGCTAGTGTGTAAGAAATGACCCAGGAGCAGTGCAGTGGCAATGTTGAATTTGAAAATAAGAGGTGTGAGTGAGCTGTCAGTGTCACAGTGTCACTTGTGTGGGCTGTGCTGCACAAGGGTGGGTAGCTGGTGGTTCTTGCACATGGCTGCAGCCTTGATTGCACTGTGGCAATCATGGACCTCCTAATGTGGATAACAATCTCTGAGAGTAGAGCTTTATTTAAAAGATTAAAGTCCCACAGTCCACCAGAGGAATCAGGGTAAGGACACTTAAAATCCTCATATTTACAACACTTTTTCTTACAATAAAATAGTAATCATAATTTTTTTGAGGGTTGAAATTTTGAACTATTTGTCAGTAACCTAAATGTATCTAATAGAAACTTCCTCTGAATTTGCCAAGACCAACTGAGGAGCAACTTGGCTGCAAAAAAGGTTTCTGGTTTTTAAAAGGAAATTATTGCTCTTGCTGTAAATTTAAGTCAAGTTTGCAGTTCAATAGGTTCTTTTTCAATTTGAGCCAAGATGAGAAAGGTGTTGATCTCTGCTGCTTTTTAAGTTGTGATATCAGTGTTACATATATTAAATTTTAAAGTATCTTGTCTTAGTGATACCAGTTCCATCCTTTCTCTCCATAAGAGTGCATGAATCAAACCAACTGGAAAGATGGTGAAGAGAAACTTGCTGATCTTTAAGGCTTGAAGTAAGACCTCTGTATTTTCCATGAAACTAACAGTACTTTTATTTTTGTGCAACCCAGGTCAGATTGAAAGATTCTCTTGTCAGCTCTCTTCAGTTCTGTAAAGCCAAGGATGCTGAGCTGGCTTGGATAGATGGTGTTCTGGACATGAGGGTTTCAAAGGTGGATACTGGAGTTATTTTGGAAGAGGGAGAGTTGAGGGAAGATGAAGACTTAGAGATGCAAGTGGATGTGCCTTCTTCAGACTCGAGTGTGATTGCACAACAGAAGGCCATGAAAAGCCTCTTTGGTGACGATGACAAGGAGATGTGCGAGGAGAGTGAGATCATTCCTACTTTGGAACCTCTGCCACCTCATGAGGTACAGAAATGATGCTGCTCTGGATTTCTTTTGTTAGGACCTCTGTATTAATTTGTCTTTTTCTAGTGCTTAGAGATTGATACTGTGATCTTACTCAAACACAAGCCTAACTGAAACTGGATTTTCATGTTTAGGTTTCTCTTTGTTAAACCTGGTGCTGTTTTTGTTCAGCTTTTTTACTTTTCAGTGAGGATGATCTTTTGCATCCATTAACAGTGCCATATATTTATGAAATAAGATTTTAGTTAGTGTGTGTCATATCTGTAATTAGTACATGCAGATAGAGAAATCAGTTAGTGTTAGTCACGTCAGGATTTTGTTACGTTTTGTTGATGCCATGGAAGATACTTTATATACTTGAGATACAGATCTTTGACGTTCATACATCTGCTTCTATAGTAGTGATTTGAGAATTTATTAAATTTATCTTTTCTATAAATTTACCATAGCTCTTAAAATACTTTGCATTTTAGGAGATAACTATTTTATCTTTCTGTTGAATTATTCCAGTATGTTTTAATCCTAGAGATGCTTTTTAAGATTATCTGTTTCACAGTCCTAATTGTAGCCTGTTCTGGGAGCTAGAGAATTGTGGAGACAGCTCCCAGGTCTGTTCAGATTGATGGCAACCATCATAGCACACTGTACTGATCAGCAGTACAGCTCACTCAGCTTGGTCCCTGGCATAGCGTGGCTTGGAAGAGGGATCTTCATTGTGGCTTTGTATTTGTCTTCAATATGGGAGCAAAGAAAAACCTTTTGCTTTGTGTGATGGGCAGCTTTTAAGGCTTTTCTGTCCTGAAGATGTATTGCTGCAGGTGAACAGAAATAGAACCAATTTAGAGTCCTGTAGTCTTGGCCTCACTGCTGCCAACACAGTAATGAGATCTTTGGAAAAAATGGAAGGTGTTAAATAGCAGCAGTAAAATGATGTGTGTTGTTTTGAAGGTTCTTGGGCATCAGTCTGTGTTTATGAATGAGCCAAGACTGTCTGACTTCAAGCAGGTTCTCCTGAGGGAAGGTATACAAGCTGAATTTGTTGGAGGAGTGCTTGTGTGCAACAACCTGGTGGCTGTCCGCAGGGTAGGTGTCCTGTGTTTTCATCTCTTAGGAAAATAAGATGATGAAATAATATATATTATTTTAGTAATAAATAAAATGTTATTTTAGTAATAAAAGAACTTTCTAATTAATGTAAAGATAATAAATTGAAACATGTCTTTTGTTTCAGACTGAAACAGGGCGTATTGGATTGGAAGGCTGCCTCTGCCAGGACTTCTATAGGATAAGAGACCTTTTATATGAGCAATATGCTATTGTCTAAGAAAAGTGCTGCAAAGGTGTTTTCACTTGAACTTCTACAGACAAAGGAGGTTTCTCCCAGTTCTGACTTTTTGTAGTTTTCTAATTTATACAGGGAAACCTAATTCACAAAGATCAGTTAGCTGCCATGAACATGTGAGTGACTGCTACTGTTGTTCATAAATCTGTTGGTACATTCCATGTAGTTGACTCTTAAACTGTTACAACTTGGCATCTCCCACATAACACATTATAAATGAGTTTATGACTATGAACGCTTCTCAGGAGAGGTTCAATTTGTCAGGGCATGTTTTGGTTTCACAGATTTCCTGTCAAAGAGTACGAAACATGTGAAAGTCATTCTTTTGTTCTAAAATAAGATTGGATAAAGAGCTTTGGTTTCTTTGGTTTTGTTCAGTTTCTGTGAGGTTGTTTTTTGTTTTTGGTTTTGGTTGCTTGGGGTTTTTTTTAGTAAGTTTGATTTAGGGAAAAGTATCTCCCTCTTTTGTTTTTAAATTGGGTTTAGTTGAAGTACATTATTAACAGCCCACTTAAAGCTAGACTGCTTAAAGTTACCCCAGTGTTTATCTGGCTGCATCTTAATGCTGTATCTCTTCCATCTTACTGATTTGTTCTGAAACAGCATTTCATATTGTAATCTGCAGGATAAAAAAATTACTTGGGCAATTACTCTAAGAAGATTGGATTATATTTTCAGGTAGTTTAAAATGCAGTAATTATGCTTCAGAGTAACTGCTGTGCAAAATTACAGAATTCATAACTCCTAACTCTTGCAAAATTATGCCAATTATAAAAACTTTTCTAAGTTCTGATTTTAATACTTTTCAAAGTCTAAAGCCTTTATCCATGCACTGCTGTTTGTTCAGAGTGCCATGAGCCACGTTCAGGAAGATCTTTTCTCTTGAAATCTGTTCATGTAATGTATTTAATGATTTTGTACCATGTTCTGTTCTAGATGACAGTAAGACTTATTGTAGCTGCTGATGCTAGGGATTTACCTTACCTTTTAGGTAAGGATAAACACATCATTGAGTTCATTAATTTCTCAAAAATTAAGTTATGAAAACAAATGGCCTCTTAAGTTTATTTAATCCTTTTTCCCCCTATCCGTGTGTGAAACACCAGTTTTGGCAGTGGAGGGTTGTTTGCTTTTTACATAAAACAATGTAATATATGCTCTTTGTGTGTGTGCTTAAATAAAACCTTTTGAAAAAGTGGCAAAAAATAGCCCTGTGGGCTGTCAATGGAAAGATAATTTACTTTGCAATTCATTCTCAACAAAAAATTTGTCTGATCTACAGACTATTTTGTTTAAAATAGTAGATTAAAAGTGAAGACTGTATTAAACAGTTGATAGAACTGTATACTAGAAATGTAAAAAACTTGAAAATACAATACTGAGTGAGAATGTATTTTCTTACACAAAGTCTGGGTTTTTTTCTTAACAATCTAGAAAAAATGTGTATTTCCTTATATTGACATCCAGAACTTCATAGAAATGCTCTGGTTTTGTAGCAATGCTATGTAAATCTATATGATGCTGCATACTTGTTGCTGAATACTGTTGTATTACTACTATTGTTTATACTAGTGAACTTTTATAAAGTGAGTTACTTTGTACATAATCATATTGGCTGTAGGACTTTAACCTTGAGGGCTTAGGATGGGAAGGGATCACATACCCCTGCATGGAATATGCTAATAAAGAAAAAAAGCCCTTAGGAAGTCAAAATAGTGCTGCTTTTGAAAAAAGGATAAAGACAGCACAGTGTGATCATAAACCTTTCTATCAGTTTTGTTTGTTTTTCTGACCTACTGATACAAACTCAGCTAAGATCACAAAATTTTAGTGTTATCAGTCAGTAAATTCTGGTGTGTGCTGACAGAGAATCCCAAATTAGTGCTATCACTGAGAAAAAGCTCAAGGATAAGCAAAACAGCTTCTTATTTTAGCCTATTGAGCATGAGTGTGGCTGGAGTGTGCAATCAGACCTAGAAAGCTGACATGCAAGGTGCAGGTGGTCAGCTGAGAGCTGGGACTGCAGTTCTGGGGGTCTCTAGAGAATGCACCACAGGCTGCACTGGTGCTGTGGGGCAGGTGTGCTCCTCAGCTGGGCATCCAGGGCTTGTAAAGCAGTGTGCACCTGAAGCCAGTGCTCATTCATTTGGCCTATTCTGCTGTCAGTTCCCTGATATGTTCTTAACTATGACTTGCTTTAGACAGTAATTGAACTTCTGTGTGGGATTTTCAGAGTTACTAGTCTGGTTCTAGTTTTTATCTGAACTAAAAGATTGCTTTCCCCTTGCCTCCACACAAGGTCAGTACTGCTGTGGTCTGTAAGTTGTGTTTTCAGGCTTCTACATGTTTTTCATTAGCAGTAAAAATGTGACAAAGAGTACCATTTCTTATTCTGCCCTCTGTTGTTCCTGAGGGTAAGAACATTAACTTCAAACCTAGTTTTGGTGTTCACCAATTAAAAATATTTCCTTCCAGTGCTCCTGGATAGTTCAGATTCCTCACATAAGAAGAGCCAAGGTTATGTGGAGACAGAGGAAAGGTCTGTAATGATAAAAATATAATTCTAGTATTAGTTATTTTACTGTTCCTGTTATTAAAACATAGCTTTACCCTGAGTTAAATAACGTTGTTTGTGACAGTTTCGTTTTTAATCCTTTTACTTTGACAATATGGGCTGAAGGAGAAGGTGACAATATTCTCCATTCTTCAACAATATTTAGATGTAACCAGACCCAATTCTCAAAATACCTTGTTAATGGAAAGGTGGGATGCTCAGCATTCTGTCAGAGTAACAGTCTTGAGAGAGCATTTGAGATGTACTTGCTGCTACAACTTGCTTGGAAATGTAGGGATTTTCCCATATCTACTAGTTTTTAATTGGAGTCAAATGCTATTCATTAGGAATTAATAAGCAGAGACATGCTTCTTCCCCAATCTAAATAATTGTTATAGATGGTTGTACCCTAAAACACTTGTTTTGTACAGAATCAAGATTTCTTTGCTAAGGCTTGACATGTATTACTACTTCAGGTAGTAAAGGAGAGTGTATTGCCTGGGGAAAACCCTTCAACTTGGTTCTGGCCAGGACAGGGTTGATTTTTGCAGCAGCCAGGAATAACCCAGAGGTTATTCCATGGGTTATTCCATGCCACCTCAGGTCATTTTCCAAGAATGGGTAAGGGGTCCCTTCCTGGCAGTGGTATTGTTGGGCTCCCTTTGGAGCAGGGGTGAGTATTCATATGGGAATTGCTCACTTCCCTTGTACACTTCTGTTTTTAATGTTGCTGCTGTCACTGTTCATTTTCTTACTTCATTGCTGTTTCTGGTAAATTGTTCTTATCTCAACCCACAGTCTTCACTTTTTGTGACTCCAATTCTTCTCTTCAGCCCCAAGAGGGGAAGGGAGAAGTGAACAAGTGGCAGGCACGTAGTTTGGAATGTTTTGGAAGGAACACTAACCATTCCTAAACCATGAAAACTACTAAAATTTTTTGAGTCTTTGTCAAAAGTCTTTCTTTAAGGATTTGAATGTTGCATGATATTCTGTTTCATGGCTTTTAGAGATGTTTTCGTAGTTTTGAAAAGGAAGTGCTGGGGAAGATGATCTCACAGTCAAATCTGATAAGGAAATGTATCTAGTAACCAGAATTGTAGTTCTTGGTTTGAAAACTGTGTAAGTCATCAATGGTAGTTTAAAATGAGATAATGAAGCTAGATCAAAAGAATCTATAAATAAATTGCCTGTTGGTATTTATTTTTAAAAATACTTGAAACAGTATTAAGTCTTACCTTCTCTTGAGACTCATTTTGATTGGGTAAGAGATATAATACAAAGATCAAAATCTCGTAGAATCATAGAATGGTTTGATTTGGAAGGGGCCTTAAAGATCATCTGGTTTCACTGCTCTGCCATGGGCAGGGGCACCTTTCCCTAGAGCAGGTTGCTCAAAGCCTCATCCAACCTGGTCTTGAACACTTCCAGAGATGAGCCATCCACAGCTTCTCTGGACAACTGGTGCCAGTATGTCACCCCCACTCACAGAGAAGAATTTCTTCCTAGTATCTAATCTAAACCTGCTCTTGTTCAGTTTAAAGCCATTTCCCTTTGTCCTATCACTACATGCCCTTAGAAAAAGTCTCTCTCCAGCTCTCCTGTAGGACCCCTTTCCCCAGGACTTTCTCTTTTCCAGGCTAGACTACCCCAACTCTCTCAGCCTGCCTTCATGGGAGAGGTGCTCCAGCCCTCTGATCATCTTTGTGGCCATCCTCTGCAGTTGCTCCAACAGATCCAGGTCCTTCCTGTGCTGGGACCCCAGAGCTGGATGCAGCACTGCAGGTGGGGTCTCACCAGAGTGGAGTTGAGAGCAGATCCTCTCCTTTCCTCTGCTGCTCATGCTGCTTTGATAGAGTCCAGGATACAATTGGCTTTCTGGGCTGCAAGAACACATTGCCAGATCATGTCCATCCTTCACCTCCTGCATTTATTTTAGGAGTCTTGTTGCATGGTTTGTTTCCTGCAAGTACAGAACAGTTGCAGTTCAGTGGTAAGTGAACTGATTCTTCCTTTCAGCTCTAACACTTCCTCACAGTGGTAGAAGAGGAATATAGTTACAGGTATTTGGGAGAACAAGATTGTTTCATACAGTGAACTTCAAATTGTACTGTCTTTGATAGGTTATGTATTATCACTGTGATAAGAAGTGAAAAATCAAAAAGACAACCCCACTCCTGCATTTTTTAGTAGAACTTCCAGTAAGCCCTGTAACTGTTTTCCTGGGAGAGGAGGATCCACACAAACTCTTAAGGTCAGAAGAAACAAGTTTGCTCTATGAGCTTTAAGCAGTAAAAACCTGCCTGTTGTTGTATAATCCTCTTAGGTGATGCAAGCTGGATCTGTGATTCAACAGCTGAATGATAATGAGCTAAGCATCTGCCAAAAAGTATAGTTTGTAACTGCAGTCTGGCAGTCACTGATTTTGGTAATGAACAAATAAATTACTTCAATTCTGCAGGCTTTTCTTAAATATTTTTAATTTTCAGTGCAGCTTTTTCGAAGTGATAAAAACTTCTCTAAAAGCTATTTTTGACAAATGATTCTGAGGAAATTTGCAGTGGTGCTCATTTCAATTAAAAAATTATACAACCCAAACCACAGGCTTTGTGTTGAACTTGGCCCAAGGTTGATACCAGTTTTTGTAAAACTGACTCTGGAAAATTACATGGGAAGCCAGTGGAGAGTGTTCATCATGTTGTGTAGTATTGGCTACCAATGCCCTTGCTGGTATTTGAGATGTAGAAAATAGAGCATAGCATTTAATGTCAATAACAATGTCAGAACTTTTGCAAGTAAATAAAAATTCCATCTTCAAAATGTCAAAGGTTCTTATTTTTACATGCAACCAAAATTATTTTTTCCTTTTTTTTATGACTAATTAGTTTATGGGGATATATATAGGTGTGAAGAATGCACTCTTAGCAACACAGTTGTTAAGCAACAGCTCTTGGAGTGATTGATTTCTCAAGTGGTGGTTTTACTGATACCTTCTTAAAGTTGTCACTTAATTCAGGTGCCTTCAAGTCTCGTTTAGTTTCCTCACCAGTTCTGAACCATGTTGTGATACACAGCACAGTCATTTACTCACGTGCTTTACAGCTCTGTGAAAAAGAACAAGAACTCTAATTTGGAGTGAGGCAGTTTAGATTGCTGAGTTCTAGCAAAGAAAGGAGACCATTAATAGCTTAGAGCTTTGAAGATTACCTTTTATTTGTGTTTAAGGTTATAGTTTTATGTTAAAACCATTGCAGTTAATCTAATCCAGAGAACTGCTTCCTCTCCAGCTGTTTATATTTTTGTAGAAAGAGCAAAAATGTGACTGACAGTATTATACCTTATTTTCCAGTATACTTTATTTTACAATTTTTTTTTCCATTGTAGTTGCTTCAAACTGTGGGGTTTTTAGTCTTAAGTCCATCTGTATAAGTTTTATAGTGTACTCATCTCAGCTGTTATTACCAAGGTTTCTTAGAAATAATCCTGAGGCGGGTAGGTAATATGTCTTTATCAGCAGTAATACTCAAATTGTGTACTAAGGTTGTACAAGAGATTTGGAAAGATTCTCGAAAGGAAAAAATGGGATATAGTTAGAACTTAATCATCACTGAAACTTAGTAGCACTGTCAGCCATTTAACTTCTGTATCTAGCTAGGACACAACGATGGGAACAGGCATCTCAGGAATGCTTTCTGATGCCGCTGTAGTGAACTGTCAAAAAAAAAAAATCAGCAAAAAAAAAAGTTACCCACATTTGCCTAACTAACCTGTTGCATATGCTTCAATATATGAATCTGAAAATGTTTTCATGGTGTGGATTGCATACCAATAATTGTGATATTGGATGTGATAACACTGCCACTCATTTTGTAATTTTACTACATATCTGGGGCAACAGGTGTAGCATACCCAAGTAATTATTTCTGCTAGGGCAATATTGTATCTTTGTTTTCAGAGGACTTATTTAACTTTCATGGAGGAAAAAACTCTGAGCATGATTTAATCAATACTTCCTAAATTATTGGCAGGTGCTCTGCAAGACATAGTAATGAACTT